TCCTGTAGAAGGAGAGGTCGGTCAGCGAGTCAGTAAATCGTTTGTGCGCCCTCAATATTTACCTGTCAGCAGAAAGCAATTTGAAACCATCGAAGTCAATATAAAGCGAGACACAGGGGAATCTGTGCCATTTGAGTTTGGAAGAGTGTTGTTAACACTTCATTTTCGTCAGAGTCAACCTCAGTACTTTTAAAAATGAAAAAACTCCACGCCCCAAATCATAAGTTTTACGAACAGTACTATGTAGATCAAGCCAAGCAAAAAGGTGGAAATTTACCCGCATTTCACGGAGCTCGATTTCAGCGAGGTTATGGCTTAGGATCCATATTTAAAGGTCTGTTCCGCTGGGCGATACCTCACCTGCAGCAAGGTGCTAAGGTGATTGGAAAAAAAGCTTTACAAACGGGTGTCAATGTTGCCCAAGATGTGATTGGCGGAGATAGCATTAAAACAGCAATCAGCAAACAGGCTAAACAAGCTATAGGTAACATGACGTCCCAGAAGTCACAGCAAGGACAGTCAGGTGCAGGCAAAAAAGCTATAAAAAGGAAAGCGCAAGGCTCAACAATCAGTTCGCCTCCAGGAAAGAAAGCAAAAACATCTCCACAGCAGAAGAAATCGAAAACCATTTTTGATAAAGAATAGAATGGCCTTCGTTCATCACGAGTCTCGCGAGTGTACTAAATCAGAGCTGGATCTTTTTACTATTCCTGCTACACAAACCTCTATTCACAAAGGGCAATGGATTGAATATCATCCTCTCAGCAACATCACGGACACTGGTCCTATTGAATTTAACGTATCTGGAACCGGGGAAGAATATTTAGATTTAGCGCGAACACAACTTTATGTGAAAGCTAAGATCACGAAAGCAAACGGAACTGCGTTAGATGCCGATACACAAGTGGGTCCCGTGAACCTGTTTCTACATTCCCTGTTTTCACAAGTAGACGTTTCGTTGAATGAGCGATTGATCTCTCCATCCACTAATACTTACCCTTATCGTGCCATGATCGAGTCTTTGCTGAACTACGGAGAAGAAGCTAAAACAAGTCAACTTTCTATGGCTATGTTTTACAAAGATACTGCTGGAAAGATGAATGTAGTGAACCCCTTGGCTGCAGACGATGAAGCAAACCTTGGATTAAAGGCTCGCTATGAGTTTACCAAAGAGAGTCATACGGTGGATATGATGGGACCCACTCACAGTGATATATTCTTTCAAGATCGGTTGATGCTCAATGGAGTGAATTTAAGAATCAAACTGAACCGAGCCAAGAATGTGTTTTGTCTTGTGTCCTCAGCAGCCGCAGCTAATTTCAAAGTGGTTATCACAGAAGCCATCTTGTTTGTACGCAGAGTCAAGGTTGCCTCCTCTATCATTCTAGGCCATGCAGCTGGGCTAAAACACTCCAGCGCCAAGTACCCCATTCGCAGAATCGACTGTAAAGTACTCTCTATTCCAAGAGGATTTAGCGGTTTTAACCCTGACAACATCTTTTTGGGTCAAATCCCCAAGCGCATAGTATTGGGATTAGTGGACACAGAGGCTTACAATGGGAGTTACCGTACCAACCCCTTCAACTTCAATCACCACAATTTAACTCAAGTGGGTGTGTACGTGGACGGAGAACAAATCCCCCGAAAACCTTTGTTCCTGAAGTTTGACGCCGCTGATGGTCAAAATGTGATAGCCGGCTATCAAAGTCTTTTCTCCGGTACTGGAAAGCTTTCCCAGGATACGGGCAATCAGATAAATAGAAGTGATTATGGCTCTGGTTACACCTTATTCGCTTTTGATTTGACCCCAGATCACTGCCCAGGAGATCATTTTGAGCTTATAAAACAAGGAAATCTACGCTTGGAGCTTCATTTCTCGGAAGCACTCGCCAACACTGTTAATCTTATCGTCTACGCTGAATTTCAAAACGTGATTGAGGTCGACGCAAACAGAAACGTTCTCTACGACTACACAAACTAAAATGGACACCATTCAACTGACCCTTATTTTGAGAAAGGATAAATTTACACGAGGTGTGTTTCAAGGCGTGTATCCCTCAGACAAGCTGCCTGCAAGTGTTTCGCAATATCCAGCCCTATACATTGCCAATGTGGATACGAGTGACAAGCCAGGTTCGCATTGGGTGGCGTTTTATTTCACCAAGGAGCAAGAGGGAGAATTTTTCGATTCTTACGGAGCACCTCCCAGCAAATATTCGGGAACATTTACTACCTTTTTAAACAACAATTCTAACCAGTGGATTTTTAATACCGTGACATTACAGAGCATCTATTCCAAAGTCTGCGGACATTACTGTTTGTATTTTGCTTTATATCGTAGTCGGCAAATAAGTATGAGTACAATTGTGCATCGTTTTTCTCATAACACACGATAGTCTTGTCAAGCGATTTATTGAAAAACATTTTCCTATAAGTCTTCCGAAATATCGCACTGATGTAAACAAGCAAAGAGCACAAGCCCAGCACAAAGTTCAATAAATAAACACCTTGTAATTTCTTTTCAACATCTTTTATTGAGTGAACAAAATAAAGAGATGATTTACAATAATAATAATAATGTCTCTTGTGGTGATTTTATAACCGTAACCAGCGCACAGCCTCAGGGCGTGGACTCGCATTTCTTCGCCGCTGTTTTTTGACGGGGGATACCGTCACAGGTGGGCTAGGTAGCCAACGGGAAGGACTGTTAGGGGTTTCGTCTCTCACCCTTGCTTTAAATTCTCGAACAGCACTTTGCCTCTGTGGATTACGCACTAGATTTTCCGGGACATTCATTCGGGCCAGACCCCTCGCAAACACCGACCATCCTACTGGTTCAAATCCTTTGCGGTGGCGCAATGTGTCGTTGACTAGGTCCACCAGATGAGAACCTGGAATGGGTTTGGTTTCATACAAAAGCTCTCCTTTATCATTCCAATGCAATACATCTTGATGCTCTTTAATTTTATCCAACAATTGTCTAGCCCCGGCTTTGTAAATTTTGGGTACACTTTTCATGACCTCTGCCTCTACGGCTGATGAAGTGAATTTTTCCGGGACAGGTTCTTCCGAAGGTTGTTCATTTTCTTCTGGTTTAGGTGTTTCTACTGCTTTGGGGGTTGATATTTTCACATGAAGAGGTTGACCTTTTCGCTGATCGTAATAAGTCAAGTACCGCTGCAACACTTGATTGTAAAGCCTAGCTTTTTGTTCATCATCAAGTTCTTTACTGGATAAAATATCGGTCATTTCACTATCCATGTTTCTCAGAGTTTGTGTGACGGGTGGGGTTAAAATCTCCTGGCGCTGCTGTAATCTTTCCAAGGTGTTCTCGGGCACGAGAACCATACGCTTTGTGTGATTCATTTTAGGTAAGAATCGAACTCAACACACGGAGAACGGGAGGTAGCAAAACACTTAAAAAATTTCCTCCGTGTTGTACCAACAATTTCTTTTTCTTATCGAGTGGTGTACTTTTTTCGGCTAAAGCGATCAAAGATTTCTTGTGAGGTAAAAGTTTTTTCTTGGCTGGCTTACTGACAGGCACTGTTCCTTTAAGCACGTTTAAAACACACTCACAAATGGTTCTTACTAAAGCGTCGTCTGCCACCTTCAAAATGGCTTTACGCTGAGCTGGTGTACACTTGACAAGCAGTTTCAGAAAATCGTGGTTCTTTCTAAGTCGCTGGGCCATCCTCAACTGAAGAAATTTGATGTGATTCACGCTTTTTATACTTTTCTGACGTAAGCGTACTGAGTCTCCCCGGGGAAAATATTCGTACGCAGCCGGAAGTCGGTAGGTGTTTCCGGTTTAAGATCACAAAATAGATATCCATAGGGCCTTTTTGTTGCATCCTCAAACGCTTCTTGCATGTATTTGACATGACCGGGAAACATTTGTCTTGCTAAATGATTGACTTGACTGCTATCACGCGGGCTTTTGAACACCACTAAGTAATGAGAATTCAAACTCATATCTCTCAGTTCTTTTCCACGATGAAAAATGTTTTGGAGAATAAAGATCACGCTGAGATTGCGATGGTGACAGCCCTTGGTAAACAAATTAGTCATTCGCTGATCATTGCTAAGCTCGTGCATTAAGTCATCAATGACGACTAAATTCCGAATAGAGGGATTAATTAGGGTTTCCAGATCACCAGGCACTCCTTCAACAAACATAATGTACGGAATAGTTTTAAGCATCTCATCGTAGGCTGGTTGATACATGCTATAACACCAGATGATATTTTCCGGGGCACCATCAATCATGTCTTCTCCTGCTTCTAGTAAACGTTTTACAAACTGACTTTTCCCACAACATGTTGGGCCGGCCACAAGCGCGGGGAAAGGATGTTTCCATCTCGGGTCCATGATCACAACTGATTAACTGATTTGTGCGTACTCTCATTTATAGAAAAAAAAAATTGTTTTGGGTTCACCCTCCTTGTCATACACACGAATCGCATTGGTATTTTGTAGTTTAGCAAATTGAAGCCAATATTTTCTTTCTATCTCCGATAACTCGTGGACTTGAGTTAAATGATTTGCTAATCGAACTAAGAATTTAGAACGACATCCCGGTATGGGGCAGTGTTTACATTTTAGTTTCTTCATGCTGACAGGGCGAATGTTAGATACCAACTGAGTAAAACTATTTGTGACACGAAATTTATTGTTGATTTTCAAGGGCAGATCGGGCAGAAAGGGCAGAAAGGGCATCTTTTTAGCCCTGTGTTTTTTCCCCTGGGCGCGCGTGGAGATCTCGCGTGTAAGTCGTGCGTGTCGAGTCAGGAAACAAGCCACGATTAAATTCAACCAATGATTTATTTACAAACTAATTTCCTATGTACAAACATCCGTAAAAAGCTACGCAAAAAAATATTTACAACTAGAGGCGATCTTATATAAATATTTCGGAAAACTATTTTGAGAGTAATATATACGCAAACTTGAGAAAATGAAAATTATTTACAAAATCCATTTTTTACAAACTTGAAAACTTAAATTTCGAGTGGAGTGGTGCTAACTCCATCAGCCAAAACTTTACGTTTCGGGTAAAAATACGAAAAGGCATCCCTAACTTGCTCATAACTGTACATAGTATTATTTACAACTCTAAACCCTCGATTCACCCCAGCACTATTCTGTTTTGTAAGTAAGACATTAAGGTATTTATCTTTGTTAATGTCATTGCATTTCTTGTTGACACCCTTACAACTAAACTTATCTTTGACCCCAAAACAGTAGTAGGTTTTTGAACACAACCCGATAATTCCTTGTCCCTCCCACTCAACCTTAAAAAGACCCGGGGTTCGCTTATCATAGGCTTTATGCTCGGGTGTATCCGTACGGGGAAACCAGTTGCATTTATCAGCTTCGAACTCTGCTTTCAATTCTGGTTTGACTAAACTTTCCACACTCTCCCCAGCAATAGCGATATACGCTGAATCCGTATCCATTTCACACATTTGAAAACCGCTGCGATCGAGATACTTGTCTAAGAAATCGTAATAAAACTGCAGCATGCGTAACTTAGCATACTGATACACAAAAAACCCGACTTGAATAGGTAAGTTTAACTTAATAGTTTTCTTACAAGACTCTACTTCATAAGTATCTTCTGTGATATTTTCCAGTTTCCGGAACAGTGGGGTGTTGACTTTTCGGCTGGCCTCTGCGTCACTGCAATACTCCACGTTTCTGTGTTTCAGTTGGTTAGTGATCGTCTTACCATAGCCTGAATTACCCACCTGAGAGATAAACAAAGATATAAGTTTTTTCTATTCGTGAAAATGTATATTGTTCCCACCCCTTTATGAATGAAAAAATGAAACAAAAACTTACCAGTTTCATGGTATCTGCAATGATGGCTTTACTGGGGTCCGCATCTCCGGCTCTCCTCGCGTCTGACACCGCATCTCCAAAGGGTTTGAAGCAGGGCTCAGGGGTGAATTCAACCACTTGGTAGACTTTGGTGACTTCCAGGCCGTGTTCTAAGTACCATTTGAGGAGGGGTGTGGCCAACAAGATTTTTTCTCCTTTCATGCTCCCGATCAAGCTTCGCCGAGGCTGAGCCATGATGTTATGCTCTTGTGCGTACGCTTTCATAAAGTCTCCAATATCATCGCGGCTGATTTCTGTGTTCTTGAAGATCGGGCACATTTCACTGAATTTCTCTTTCAAATGCTCAGGCACACGAATATCTACTTCCACGCACCCAAACAAACGCTCATTTCGCACCTCGCTCAATATTCGCTCCGAGCTCATGATCTTGACTTGATCCAGGGTTCTTCTCACTTCGGTGGCAATAAAACGCCGTAGTTCTCGGTTGGTTCTCTTCATTTCTCTCCACTGACATTCATACATTTCCACCACGTTGTACCCTTTGCTGCGGATATACTCCGTGTTGGCTCTCGTTTCTTCTCTGATCTCAGCCATAGGTTTCTTGCGTTTCTCGTTAAACTCTTTCCCTCGGTTGAGAGCACAGTCATGGCCGTGCCAATAACAGCCGTGAAACTGGTACGCAGTTTGCGTCTGCGCGTTGAAACCGTCCACAGGCAGTTTACGACCACCGATGCGCTTTTCTGTATTGTTTAACTGATGTCGGATGTGAATTCCCTCTTTGTGCGCCACCCATTCCAACCATTCAATAGCCATGCGTACAGAACTTTTCGGTTTGAACTCATTGTCCGACAGGCGTCTCGTATAACTTCCCGTGGGCATATCTCGCATGAGCGCCCAGAGGTACAAAGCGTTCGCGTCATAACCCACGATCTTCTCACACAGCTTAGCAGCCTCGCCTTCCTCCGCTTCTCTGATCTTTGTTTTGCCGGCTTCATGATATCGGTGGAAAATAATACTTGGGCCGCCCGTGTTGTTGTCTTTGATCAGATGGTAGAGATCACTGTTCGCTTGATCGAAGAGACTGAAGTAAGTTTGAGGTGAAAGATAAGAGAAGAGGTACTTGAGGGTTAAACCAGGGACAGAAATTCCATCTTTAAACATATCGATCTTTCTCTCCTGCCAGAACTGACTCATTTTCTCTACTGCCTCGAGGAAAGGAACGACATCCAAATTATTGTACCAGATTAAGAACTCTCGAAAGGTGGACATTTCATTTTCTTCCCATACTTGCTGGCAGTACTCATATTCTTCTTCTGTAATGTTTTGGTTCTTCAGACTTGAGTAGAAAGCTTCATGCGAGGGCAGAGATGTTTCTTCGAGCTTGTCCAGGCTGTCGATCCACTCGTAAGGGAAGAAACCTTTGGTTTGCTCGCATTCATACGCTCTTAGAAACTGGTCATAGCTGAAACCCGGCGCGACATAGTTCGAAATGTCCAGAAATTTTAAGGAGTTTGTCTTGAGACACATATGGTTGCTGTTTCTTTTGACAGTGAACTTGATGGGTTGAGACTCTATGAGGTAGGGAAATACAAATTCTTTCACAGCGTTGAGATCGTACTTGCCAGAGTTGAAGCCTAGCACGGGCAGTTCTTGTAAGTATGCGTTCAGTTTTTCAGCTAGCTTTGTTAAGACTTTGTTGTCGCTAGTCTGCTCTTGACCAAACAACACATCTTCGTACTGGGCTAGCTCATCTCGCTGTTGTCTCCTCTCTTGTCTCCTCTCAGTATTCAACTCAACGTTCAGTCTTCTGTAAAAGGAAGGGTCGTTTTCTGTTACCTCATCATTGAGAAACGCGCGATCTTCCTCATTCTCCGGTTCGATTTCTTCCTCGTCGTCATCGTCATCACTTGCCATCAAATCGATATCTCTTTCGTTGTCACTTAATTCTTCATCATTATCTTCCCCTTCTTCACTTTCAGCTTGCTGACTACCCTCCTGGATATCAACAAGTATTTGCGCTAATCGGTCTTCTGTTGAGTCATCGCGGTTAGGTACTTGCTTCAGTGCTTCAAACACAGGCGCAAACTGTTCACGGAGAATAGAAGAACTTTTCAGGCTTATCTTGGTGAGGTACTGCATAAATTCTGTAATAAACACGTTTGGGTCGCCGTTAGACACAAAACATTTCGGTGCTTGGTAACCAGGCACGTTACTGCACACACTCACACTGAGGGGAACATGGGCGGATTGCCAGGTTAACTTTTCAGTGTTCTTCAGTTCTTGCGCTTTTTCCTTGTCAAAGTAACATTCAAAATCGTAGGTGGCGCGGTAAGGGAAGTACCGCCATTCTTCAGGAACGACAATACCTTCGTCTTCTAATTCTTCAAAGATAGTTTTAGGGACATGGTAAGCTCCGCCAGGGTACTTCAGCTGGACTTTGCCGTCACAGGTTTTCTTATGTTGCCTTAAATTACTTGCGCGTTTCCAGTACTTGCCACATCTTGAACAGCAGAAGGATTTACTGTACCGGGCGAGATCTTTAATATACAAGAAATGGTTTTCGTACAAGTTCAAGTAAAGCGTGCTGGATTAGTGGCGATGTGAGCGGCGAAGCAGGGTGGCGGCAATCTCGGGAGTATTTTCTTCATTGTCTTCGTCTTCACTGTGGCTCTGAGTAGGCGCGAGACTGTATACTTGAATATTCACTTCATACAATTTCTCCAACTCGTCTAGTTCGGACAGCTTGACCCCATGGAACTTCTTTTTTCCTAACCCGGCGTCTCGATACTGTTGGTAATAGTACTGCGTGTCCCTCTCTAAATTCTTCGTGTGGCAACCGTTGTGGAGGGCCAGACAGCGAAAAAAACACAGATTATCTTCATAAGGCTTGCCTCTTTGAATGTTTCGATCGAGTGGGGTGATTCCCGTGTTGTCCACGATATAACCTGGTAGATATTTGCCACGGCCGATCGGATGATCCCTGATTTTCCAAACAAACCAGGTAACATTCGTGATGAGATCCACGACCCATTTACTGTTAGGTCGCTGCTGTCGAACCCACTCCAAGTAATCGATCTCCGCTATCTGCTGATATAGACGCTCTAAATCGTCTGGACTTGAAATCAGGAACGGCTGTTCTAGCACCAAATTGTTGTTCGCGGATGGATGATGATACTGGAGGGCCCCAGTCTCTGTATTACGGAGAATAAAACCAAAGGAAAAGTTCACTTTGAACACAGTAGGCTGATCAGCCAAGATCCTGCTCAGTTGTTCGCGGAGAGCGGTGGGACTGATCGTGGACAGGCGGAAATTGTACCAGTCTTGTAAACGGTTACGGCGACTAAATCGGGTACGGATCTGGGGCCAGTGTTGACGGTACGTGTCGGTGATAATTTCCTCCGCGGCAGGAATAAGGTTCGAAGGAATGAGAACAGGATCTTCGTGCCAGCTAGACCCGGGCACTGAGGTTTGCGGTGTAGTTGGTGAAGTACCAGGATCAGCGGACTTCTTGTGTTTTTTAGCAGCAGGTGCGTCTGTGTTTTTAGCGGCGGATCGTTTCCTGTTAGTGGCAGCGGCGGGTTGTTGATGAGTGGTGCGAATATGAGCGTTGTAAGGGGCGCGGTTGTGAAAGGTTTCGCCACAGGTTGCGCAAGTAAACGTCCGTTCGGCAGCTTGTTTGTCGTGCGCTTTCAGGTGACGATTGAGAGCCGACTTGTCAGCAAACTTCTTATCACAGCGGTTGCATTCGTACGGTTTCTCACCAGTATGGGTTCGCTGGTGAGTTATTAGATGATTTGGGCAAGAGAAGGCCTTGTCGCAGGTGTCACAACGATATTCTTTACGAGGCTTTTTGGCTGGTGGAGGGTGACCATCCCCGGATTGAATTTCCTATAATTAGTAAAAATGACCTAGTCTTAGTGTAAAGCTCAACTAACAAGAAACTCTGATAAACTCTATTTGTCTACAATGAGCGTCTCAACAACTGGGTAGATGGTTTGTTTTTGATGTTGAATCAACAGAATAAATTTAATTTTATGTGTCGATCCACGACATAATTGACTTTCAGAGATAAGCGCGTGGGTACTATTATAACTCTGCTTTATTGCTATAATCAACTGCTTAGTGGAAATAACTTAAATTGCTCTGATACCTGTTTGAGTATATAATACGCTGTCTATTTTCTTCAACTCGGCTTGATGATTGAAGAATATTAGTACATTGAGCAAATGCTTTGTTTTGATTTTCAACAAAAGAATAGAATAGATTTTAATATGGGTGCAATCATCCGCAAAAAACGAATTCACTTATGTGATCAGTGGAAAGGGGAATCGATCAAGAATAAACTATTTACGCCTTCAAAATCATAAATAGTAAGCCAACTGTAACTTTTATATTCTCCCGACTCTTATAAACGATGGATTGAATGATATTGTCTTTTGGGGTGAGCCTAAACAATTTGGTTTTTTAAAGGTATACATTTCAAAAACTTTAATAGGAACGTTTGCACTTCTACATGGGGTATTCTAAACACGTGAACATGAAAGATGACTTACGGTTTCCGACGGGTTCCAAGTGGGTAATTCACTGGTTTCGCCAGTCCACTGAAAATGAATAACAGAAATATACACATGAGTGATTGAACAATTAATAGCGCAAACTTAATTCCGTGAAAGAAAAATAATTTTATGATCATGAATGCTTACCTCATCAAAGAAATTATCCCGTGTATCTTGCGCTGATAACGGTGCCGACTCGTTGTTATTCTAGATAAGAAGAGAAGAAATCTGATTACTTTAGGTTTTCAAATCTCGCTCATTTTCAAGAAATAGGTGGGCATTGAACGAATAAGGAGATTCGTAATGTTGTTTCACCAGTAAACAAATCATTTACGTTGCGTATTAAAAAGGAAATGGAGTTACCTTGTCTAGCGCCATACGCTCCATCTCATTGACGGCCTGCATTTCTTCAGTTGTAAACTGTAAAGCAAGGAAACATATTCGATGAGTATTATATGACAATTGTCTACAAAAAGTTGAAGCAAATCGAGTTTGGAGTCCTTTTGTTTCTTTAACGAGGATAACAAAAGATACGCGAGCAGGTTAATAGATCAAATGCAAATCTAACTCAAGTCCAGTCTATTAACATAACCAACATAAATGATGCGTGAAAATTCGGTTACAGAAAATTACTCAAGGTCGTTTAACTTTAAATTACTCAAGGTCGTTTTTTAAAACTCACCGAATCGCTCAGTAACTCGTTGACTTCATCACTACCCGTGTCCTGATTGATTTCAATCTGTGGAGTAGAACGTTAAGTAAAGATTAATATAAACTCGCTTCGGTAACGTACAGATTAAACGTAAACCGTCATCAGGAAAGAACTCAGAGACGAATACTTACCGGTATCTCTTGGGCTGTGAGTTCCGACAGCCGAGCATACGCCATTGGGATCCACTCATCGGGTATCAAAATAGATTCCAGCAATAATTCCCAATCGTGGGTCGAGGAACAACCATCCAAGAGAGCTTGAAATTCGCGAACGTTGGTAATGAAAGCCATGATGTTCAAAAAGTGAAAAAAGGTTTTCTCAAAATGAGCGAACTCGGACAAATGTTCTCCTTAACAAAGCGATTGCAAGAATAAAATGCTGAACGGAGAGCGCGCTTTTATGTTCAACACATAATGGATTGTTTACTATCCAATCAGGGTTACAAGATCCCGGGCAAGTTTGGGCCGGCCTATTGTTCCCATTGTAGTAGAGTGACGCTCATTAGTAAACCTATCCACTTCATTATATATGGAGGAAGACACTTAATTAGTATGGAGGAACCCATTTTTTCCCTAGGTTATCACAATCGGTGACGTCATGGACTCTATGCCTATTAATAAAGGGAAGACAGGGGAAGACAGGAGAAGACACCAACGAGGCTTATCTTTGCTGAAGCCCTACTACTGGCGCTTGCAAAGTATGGCATTTGCTGTGTTTGCAAGTCTTATTGCTTGCTCAGCTGCAGTGTTTCTTTCCATCGGAGCCATCGATTCTGATGCTCTGTCACGATCACAAGCGAACGCAGCGATCAACGCAGAGACGAGATGCGCATGGGATTGCAGTGTCATCAACTCGAAGTTTGCATTAGAGATGAAAGCGCTTATTGCTAAATTCAGGCTTATAACAGTGCAGCTGAAGTACGACCAACACGAGGACGAAAAATGTTTAAAACAAAGAGATCTACAGAATTCGTCGCTCGCAGAACTTTGGACATGGCTCACTGGCGACATTCCACGTCACGAGGAACAAAAGGTGTCACAGCAGTCTTTCAAGAAGAGTAATAACTGGTTTCGAAAATCGCTGGAGGGACAAATTGAGGCAAGTCTTTCTTGTTCCCTTAAACCAGAAACTAACTCAGAGTACACAAAGCCTTCTTTGAATGATGTTATTGCAATGGTGCTGATGGAAGAAGTTAAAAAAATCGGAGATCTTTCACTCTCCGAGACGGCCCTTTGTTACAAGGTCTCAGCTAAGAATGGCTCGTACATTTGTCTGAACCTTACCACAAATATAGCTCACAACATGGACTACATTAGACCCGTTAATTGGCAGAAAAAGGCTTTTACAGTTTTATTTGTGATTATCGTTTTTGCTGCGATATGGTACTTTCCTCTTATACTTTGTTTGTTCACTCCCACTGAAATGAAAAATGCTGGCCGTGTCATGATTGTTCTTCATGGGACCAGCCCACAGGGCATTCGCAGCTACATAGCAAATATACTAGGTTCATTTCTGGTTTCTGATGTCGACTCCATCAAATGGCAGGATAC